AAACTAACTAATTGATATTTCCCCCATATAAAAAAATAACTATGGCTACATAATTTTTGGCGGTTGCCTATGTTACTCAAAATTTCAAAGCGTGCATAATAAATTATCTAGCTAGGTTGATAGGGTTAGCATTTTTTAGTATTTTTGGGAAAATTTTGATAATAGGGGTTATCTTATTTTAGGATACGATCATTTCATAAGTGCCTCTTTGAATCCTCTCTTTTTAAGCTATATAAGCTAGGTCAAATAGATTTTGGAAAAAGCTCTTATAACGAAAAGTTCTTTTTTTTATAATGAAGAAAAAAGCTGAAAATTAAAAATTCCTAGGAAGAGCTTTTTTTTAAGCTCTTATTTGTTTTTCTTGAATTGTGTGCTTTTTTTTTAAATGAAAAGTGATAAAGATAGAGAGAGATAATTTTCTTGAAATATATGCTTTTAAATAACTTTTAAGCTAAACTTTTACGTAATTTCCAAACAGCTTTTAGCTTTTTTTTAACCTCTTTTTTTTAGCTTTAGCTTATAAGTAGCTTCTAGCTTAAAAATAAGAATATCCAAACAGGCTCTAAGTCTCAACAAATAGTTTTAGCACATTGATGAATTACTAATTAGTCACTGCTAACCACAATAGAACCAGGACCTTTTAATTTACACAATTCGAACTTACCTATTAAACCAACCTTGATTGACAATTTGCTAAAAAATGTAACTACTCTAACTAGCGTGCCCCAATACTAATCTAATTTAGGTACGCCCAGTGTAGATAACCCTACTTGTCTAAAAATTATTTAAGAGTTATTACAAAAAAAAAAAAAAAAAAAAATTTATTTAAGAGTAAATACTATTTTGGGTCCCTAACAAAAAACATGGTCCCTACTTTAGTTCCTTATAAAAAATTAGTTAGTTGGTCCCTAACAAATTCAAAGTGGACCCATTTTAGTCCTTTTGAAGGACTAATATGGGTCTTTTTTGAAATTGTGAGGGATCACAATTTCAACTAAATGGGTTCACTTTGAATTTGTGAGGGACCAACTAACTAATTTTTTTTTTGTAAGAAACTAAAGTGGAGATCGTATTTTTTATTAGGGACCAAAAAATGTATTTACTTATTATTTAAACTTTCAATGTGATTGTGAACAAACAATCTGCAAATGGGCTAATTAAATTGTTGGTTTCGCCTAGAATTCTAATTTGAAAGTTACAGTTAGTTTTATATTTTAGTGATAGTTTTGAATTCTGAATCGTAATCATTATCAAGATATGTGTGATATGTGAAATTTGTGGGAAACTACACAATCCGTAATTAACAATGAGCGTGAAAAAGTGGAAGTTTGTCAAGCAAACTCTTGTGAGTTATAAATACATATATTAAGAAATTGATAGAGACGTCAGGAAAAAGAGTGAGAGATTGTGTTATGAAGAAACTATGCCAAAATCTAGGTACATAAATAATTTAATATTACATATGTAACATGTTAGACCTAAGCAAAGTGGGTTGGGCTAGACCAAACTTTGTTTCGAAAAGTCTAAACCTATGCAAAAAAAAAAATTAATTTGACCTGGCCGAAGCCTAGTGTGAGTCTATTAGTCTGGCTTGGCCCATTTATAAAAAAACAAATGGCCTGACCTAGCTCGTTAGTCTGTTAACTTTTAACTTTCAAGCATAACCATGAATCAACTTTACAAAATACTCAAATTCTGTTGCTAAACCAAAACTCATAATTTCAACGTCCAAACAGATTCATGAATCACAACAAAACTCATACAATCTGCATTTAAGTCACTTTCAAAAGCAAAATGCTCAAACTAAATAACATATATTTTACCAGATCCAACAAATAAATTCATACTATGTAAATTAAAATAACTACATGAATTCAACAAATACACCATGATGCTTGTAGTAAGTATAACATCTCCCAAAAATCTTTTAATATATTCATATAGACATTCTAACATGCTGAGATGTTGGTTTCTCCTACATAATAAATAAAGTCAGATTTCTTTTAAAATATAATCGAATATAATTAAGTTATAAATAATTGCAATTGATTAAATTTATATCTTTTATTTTTTTTAAAGACATACTTGTTCTATTTTATTTTATTTAAAATAAATAATACAATATAGGCCAGCATGTAGGCTTATAGATCAGGCTTTGAAAAAGTGGGCCTACAGCCTTTTTATTAAACAAGCTTTTTCAAGGTACAAGGCCAGATATACTAGATCAGGTCTAACCTGTCATAAGCCGAGCCGTAGGCCTCTGTAGGCCGGCCCGGTTCAATTTTACCTCTACTCACAAGGTTTAGCAGAATCTAAAGTTAGTCTTGTTCTTGTAATTGTGGGACTGAGGAAATTAAGAGTGCTCACAATTATAATTACGTAATCTTATTTTGGTAGTAGATTTGATTCTTTCATTTATGGATGTGGGCATGCGCTGGGCTACTATGCGAAGAAAAGTAAACTGAAAATATTTTTACAAAATGAAATAATTCTTGCCTAACTTCTAATTTTCAAGTTTCGTTAATTAGAATATATTGTCTACCCATGTGGAAATGCTACTTTTTTGTAAACTTATAATTAAATATATGTTTTGGAGTATGTGTTAAATCTTAGTTGTTAAAAAAAGTGACGATGAATATCTATACTATTATAGAATGACTTGCACAAGAGATGTGAATAAAGTTTGAGACAAGTTATTCTTATATCGATGTAAGAATAAAAACTTTTACATTAAATTTTAATTATTGATTTGCTTGCATCTAATAAATTGCATATCTAATAAATCAAAACCCTTTTAAATATAAATAGAATTAATTGAAAGTGTAGATTACAGGAGTATTAAATGATCATTACCCAAAATATATATATATATATATATATATATATATATATATATATATATATATATATATAAATGAAAGTTATATTTATAAATTTTTTATTTATAAATTAAATTATATATTTTAAAGAATACATATTTAGATATTTATATTTCTAGAAATATATAATTTAATTTATAAACAAAAAATTAGTAAATATAACATTTATCATAGACGTAAATATCATTTATTGAACTCTGTATACGTTATCGTTTGCGGCGTCCTTCCGTGGAGGGAATGGGTTGTTTGCCGCTTCCGAGGCTTAGGAGTTAGGGCCATCTTCAGTTTAAAAGAAAGGACAAATTAACGCAGAAAAATTATTAAAAGAATAATTAAAAGAAATATTAGTCTTTTCATAAAAAAATTTGGGTCTCTCTTTAAGAAGACAAAGAAATTGTGCTGTAATATATTATGTATATAATATTTTAGTGCACTGCAGGTCATCCAATGATATTACTACATTTGGAATAAACTAAAATAAAAGCTTGACAAAGAAATCATATTCAAAATCTACTCACTGGATTTTGATAGATGTTAACTAGATTCACCAAAGTATGCATAGTTGAAATCTGTAATCCAAAAAAAAAAAAAAAATGCGTAGTTGAAATCTCGCATTCTTTATTAAAATTTAAAGTTTTCAATTATGTTATAGATTGTTGTTGGTATTGTTTAGTTTAGTGTTTACTTGTGAAATTCATAATATAGACTCGTTACCCTGATGTTTTCATTTCAAGTAACGTTTTAAATAAAGGAAATAGTTTTCTCATTTTACATGAGAAAATTTTCTCATGCTACACTCACAATACATGAGTATGTCTCATCTTGACTTTTTTGTCTTCTCACCTTTTTGTGGACCCCACTCATATATTGTGAGTGTAACATGAGAAATTTTTTTCATGTAAAATGAGAAAATTAATTCCCTTTAAACAATTGCAATACAAACAGTGCTGATAGTAGTACTGGAAAGTTTTTCTTCCAAAACTTTATTTGTTAAGGTTGTTTAACACTCAACTAGCAGATTTAAACGGCGTTGCTCTAAAGGGTTTTTTATTTTTTATTTTTTTATTTCTATTAGTAATTCTTCAGAGATAGACATTGACTAATTATATTGTGCCCTGTCTTGATAATAGAACATAACCTTTTCACCTTCTACATTTTTAATCAACCGGCGAAAAGGTAGTTCTTAAAGAAATTTCTTATTAATTTGACAAATGAATTGATATTATTGAATTCATATCTTCTTATAAATGAGACTAACAAAGCTTTCATTTAGTTCTGGGACTAAAGGGAACATGATAAAACAGTTTAGTTTCTTATGAGCCATTACATTGTTTGCCTTTCAAAAGATAGAGAGTAAAACAAGATATTAATATTGTTTCATTGATAATTTTGTGATTGTCTTTAGTCTTCAGAAAGTCAAGTTTTGATTAAATTAAATAAATGGTCCTTTTTGCACTTTTAGTATCATCTATACTCTGTTTATCATTTTTCACGAATAAATCTCATCTTTGCCTTGGGGAAGGAAAAATATATAAACTGAACTATTTCGTTTATAAAGCATGTTTTGATATACGAAATAACTTTTTCAAATTACTGAACAAGATTCTTAACTTACCCCATAATATCAACCTAAAATGTATGTTTTGCATATACAATTATACATTTCTTTTGTCCAAAACAACTCCACATGCTTTATTTTATTAAAAAAAGAAAAAAGAAAAAAGAAAAAAAGAAGAGCAAACTGCATTTTTTCCAATATAAATACTACCTCCGCGTGTATGCTAAGTACATGAGTTTTTCTAATAAAAAAGAAAGATACATCTCTAAAAAAAATAAAAAAATAAAGAAAGAGAGAAAGATGCATGATTTAGGCTCAATATATATATTTCCTCTATTTATTTGACTTTTTAAAAACATAATAAAAAGTCCCAATGTTGTTAACTTGATCATAGGAGCATAGGAAATGGCTATTTCCTATAACGAAGGAAAACGTTGATGTCTCTATATAACCAGTTGCTCCGCGCTAGCCATCCAAAGACCAATAGGTAAAACTTTATATAAAAAATCCCTTTCCCTCTTCCATTTTTAAAACCAAACACATCAACTTCCGCAATATTCCAAATGTCTTCTTCTTCTCTTCCCTTTCAATTGTTGCAAACAAATCATCAAAACCCTCCAATTAAGGCATGGAAATCTCTTCTCTTCCCCACCAACAAACCCATTGATCTCCTCTTACTCTTCCTCAAAGCTGGCCTCATCCTCTCTACCTTCTTCCTTGTCTCCCTCCTTTTCTTCCTCTCCCACTCTTATCATCACACACTATTCCAACATTCCCTTCAACTCTCAGTCCCACACGGCTCATATGCATTTAATAAACAAAAATCAACCAATATCTCCCATATTGTGTTTGGTATCGGTAGTTCCGTCGAGACTTGGCAGAACCGCTACCATTACAATGAACTCTGGTGGCAACCTAATGTTACCAGAGGCTTTGTATGGCTGGAACAGGAGATTCCAACTAATCAGTCATGGCCGGAGACCTCAATACCATATAAGGTTTCCGGCAACACATCATCATTCAAATACACATGCCCATTTGGTTCGCGGTCCGTGATTCGAATAACGCGCATTGTGAAGGAGATCTTCGAGATAGGGTTACCAAACGTCAGGTGGTTTGTCATGGGAGATGATGACACAATGTTCTTCACGGAGAACTTGGTTAATGTGCTAGCAAAATATGATCACAATGAGATGTACTATATTGGTGGCAATTCAGAGAGTGTGGAACAGAACTTGATACACTCCTTTGCCATGGCTTATGGTGGCGGCGGATTCGCCGTCAGCTATCCTTTGGCGGCAGAGCTGGTGAAGATTTTAGACAGATGCATTGACCGTTACGCTATATTCTATGGCTCTGATCAAAAGATTCAAGCATGCATAAGTGAGATTGGTGTTCAAGTTACAAAGGAACTTGGTTTTCATCAGGTATAAATATGTGTTTCTCCACTTCAACACAGTGTCATTTCAATGTTTATTATAGTCTTACATAATACTAGGTAATGTTTATGTTCCTCATTTTCCTATTTTGAATGAACTTCTCTTTATTAGTCAAAATGATGTTTAAATTGTAATTTTGGTATATTAATCTGGTAGGAGTTAACTTTTAAAACTACGTAAAAGTTAAAAGAGTCGGTTATACTTATTATCATTTTAGTCTTATCACTCTTACTATTTATTTAGTTATCGTTGATCAATTTAAAATCAATGTTAAAAAAAGAGAAAAAAATTAACTGTTGTTGATTTCAAATTAATTCAACAGTAATAAACAAGTAGTAAGAGTAGTAAAGTGAAAATGGTAGTAAATATAATATTTCCCAAAAGTTAAAACAAAAAATACTATTTAATAGCTAAATTAATGTAGCTATTTATTAAAACATAATTTAGAATTTTTTGGCAATCAAAATGAGAATGAGAATCTGAATTTGAATTTGATGAAAAATCATTTTGATTACATTAAGTTATATTGAATAATCATTTCTAATGCGCCGATAAGATTACAAAGGAATCAAATAAAATTTCACCTCTTGGAATTTTTAAAAAATTACCAAATTTAATTTTCATTCTTGTTTATTATTACAGGTTGATATACGTGGAAACTTGTATGGGTTACTGGCGGCGCACCCGGTTGCGCCACTAGTGTCACTGCACCACCTTGACTACGTGGAGTCAATGTTTCCAAACACGACCCGGGTCGACTCCGTAAAAAAATTGGTATCAGCTTATAAAACGGATCCGGGTCGGACCCTCCAGCAGAGCATATGCTATGACCTGCGGCGGAATTGGTCAGTCTCAGTGTCATGGGGTTACAGTGTGGAGCTGTATTCTACTTTGGTGATGGCGAATGAGCTTGAGACACCGTTTAGGACTTTCAAAACGTGGCGGAGCTGGAGCAACGACCCGTTCACGTTCAACACCCGACCCATGAGTCCCGACCCGTGTGTGAGGCCTCTTGTTTTTTTCCTGGATCGGGTTGAGAATGTGGGTGAGAGGGGACACACCCGATCCGCGTATAAAAGATACGACGACGATTCAAGGGAGAACGTTGAGTGCGTTTTGCCGGCCTTAGATGTTCAATTTGTCAACGTCTCTGCCCCACACTTTAAGCCAGAATTGTGGAAAAAGGTAATTAGAGAAATTTTCAATTTTCTTTCCTATTTGTGTTTGATGCACACAATGCGCCTCTTATGTCTTGAATTATGTGTAATCAATGATTAGTGAACTCGCACTATTTCTTCAATAAAAAAATCTAGGAAACCAGCTTTTTTTATAAAATATGAATGCCGGCACATGAATTTGACTGTGGCGTCAATTATAATTTTTATTAGATTATATAGATGACATGTAATTTTAATTTAGTTAGGTTTCAATTCATAATTTAAAATTGTTTATGAATATGGTTCTCATTTTTGTAAGTTAGATTATGAGAGAATATTATGTAAGTAGTATAATATCTCTAATATTTTTATTATTACATGTAAACATATTTGTAGTGTGTTTCAATCGAGCCACACAAATATAATCTTTCATGTGTTATTTAATATAATAATGTTAATGGTGATGAGGAATAAGAGAAAAAAAATTAGAATAAGAAGTGACAAGATTATTACTATTAAATTTATCCATAAATGATTAGGATCCTAAGACATGTCATGCTAATTAACTCAAGAGATGATCGACTTTTATCAAACAACTCATCCCAAAAGATTTGTATTGTTGTTCTTCCTTTCTCTTTCTATTACACCCCCTCTCTCACACACTCATATAATTTTTTTTGGTAAGCTACACACATAAATATTTTGATAAGAATTAAGTTGGCATACATACAGAAAAATTGTTCAATTTATTCTGTTTGACATGGAATTATGTGTATAGTTTTTCAATTTCAAAAACGCATAACACAAATTTTAAATTTTTAAAGTGTGCATTTTATTTTTTTTTAAATATTAACAAAAAAAATTAGATTTGATCAGTTTTAAGATCAAAATACACTTGAACTTAAATTCAAGGAAAAAAGGTAACAAATTCATGAAAAAATATATAAGTATCATGTAATTCCAACAAGATAAAACTTGTTAATATTTGGTAAAAAAATATGTTTTGAAAAGTTTAAAATTTGTATTTGGAAGAGGTTATATTTACAATATATTTACTCTTACCATCTCTTACAATTATTTTTATGGTTGTTAGATCAAAATTAAATCAACGACTTACACCTAATGTCATTTTATAATCGTTGATTTAATTTTGATCTTATAAAGTAGTTGTAAGAAGTTGTAAGAAAAAATATATTATAAATATAATCTCTTTGTATTTTACATTTTTGAAATTTGACGATTAAACTACACGAAATCTACGATAAATTAGATTTTTTTTTTCTTCTTACTCTTTTTATTTAATATTCTTACTTTTTAAATGTGGATGAATGAGCAGGCGCCACGTAGACAATGCTGCAACGTAATCGAAGGAGGAGATGAAGCGAGCAATGTGGTCCAAATCGAAATCAGAAGTTGTCATCGTTTTGAGAGTGCGACTCCTCCGTAGAATGTTTTTGTAAGAAAATGGAGTAGGCATTGAATTTCGAAAAATCAAGAGCAACGTGGCATTTACGCTCGTACAAAACGACGAGTCGCTTTTGTGCGATTTCATATACTTCAAAGAGAATAGGAACTAACGTAAACCAACCAATTACACTGTAGTCTGATCTCTCGGCCTGTGTTGCTATATAAACTGTTAACATAATTTTTCTTTAATTTTGAATAAGTCATTAAAAGACAATAATTAACCATATTACTTGGGACAAATATGTGTTATTATATATGGTAGTTAGATTTCTTTTAAGCTTTGTTATCTTTGATGAAATTAAATATTTATTAATTGTTGACTTTTATAATAAGAACTCAATTTGATTGTATTATCAATGTAAAAAGTTTTACATTGTCATTCAATACTTTAATAACACATCATTTAATAAATTTTACGCCTAGTATATGTCTATCTTCTTGGCGGCTTATTTTCTATTTAAACTGATTTTATTGGCCCAAAAAATGATAAAATAATAACACTTTTTTTTTTTTAAAGTTTCACACTTTTCTATTTGTATACAATCTCTCTTCAATCATAATCTTGGTAGAATAAGGAAAGTGTCTCTTTTAATATGCAGTCCTTGAAAAATTAGGAAACTATATCTCTTTTTCCCTTGAAGTCTTTCCATAGATCTCCAAACAAGAAACTTTCATTTGCTGATATCTTTATCAAATCTTTTCAAAACCGTACAATTATCACAAATATTTAATAATTAACATCTCTTATCTAGATTATATATATATATATATAGAGGTAAGATCCTATGACACCAGTGTCAAATTTGAAATTTGACACCTCATCTGAGAGCCGTTAGATCATAAAAGATCAATGGTGTCACATGCTTACAAATCAGAGTCGTTGATCTTTTTTGATCTAACGGCTCTCAGATGAGGTGTCAAATTTCAAATTTGACACTGGTGTCAAAGGATCCTACCTCATATATATATATATATATATATATAGGGAGGGTTCTTTTGACTCTAGAGTAAGACTTACTCTCAATCTTAGCCGTTGATGGACGGAAATCAACGGTTGTCATTTGTAGTGTAATTAATAATTAATTAATTAATATAACTTCCTAAATTATAACCGTTGGATGGACGGAAATCAACGGCTAGGATGGGGAGTAAGACTTATAAATTTTACTCTGGAGTCAAATGATCTTTCTCCTATATATATATATATATATATATATATATATATATATATATATATATATATATATGTAATAGTCTTTCCCATAAAACCCAAATTTTCTCCTAAGCTCCCCGTTCCTTTCTTCTTTTTATATATCGCAATTTTTATGTTTTACAATTTCATGCTTAATCTTATTATGGTTTTTTAATGTTGGCTTAAGTTCTACATGATAAAATGATTGAAATTAATCGTGAGTTATAAAACCCACATATTTTATATGGTGGATGACTACCTTAATTGGGGGATTATTAGTCTTTGTGGTTACAACTTAGAGATTATAAGATGCCCTTTTATGCTTTATGGTTACAACATTTAGGGTGTGCATGACAACCATTATGTTTCCTATCACTGTTTCTAAAAAGAAGCAATTTTTTCTATTTCTGTGCATTGCAACAGTTTCTGAGAAAAAATATGTTTGATAACATGTTCTATTTTTATTTCGAGAATAAGAATTGCGTTTGGTAACACAATAAATAGTATAATAAAAAATAATTCCTATTAAGCATAAAAAATTATGGATCATCACTCTCTTTTCCATATGGTGTGGTGATGGTGGCGTGGTGGTGGTAATAGTGGCGATAGCGGCGTGGTGATGGTAGTGGTGGTGATGGCAGTGGCTAAAATGGTGGTGGTGGCAGCATGGTGGTGATGTTATTGGTGGCAGTGGTGGTGATGGCATTGTGGTGGAGGTGACGGCAGTGGTTGCGACGATTATGGTGGTGGTTGGTGATTGGGGTTGTAGTGGTGGCGTGATTATAATGGCGATGACATCATGGTAGTGGTGACGATAGTGGCTGCGGCGATGGTAGTCATGGTGATGGTGGCAATGTCGTGGTGGTGATGGCGATGATGGCGGTGGCGGCATGGTAGTGGTTGCGATGGTGGTGGTGGTGGTTGGTGGCAGTGATGATGGTGGTTATAGTGATGCTAGTGGTGGTGGCGGCGGCGGTGGTGACGGTGGCATAGTGGTAACGATGATGGCGATGGGTGGAGGTTGTGGTGATGGTGGTGGTGACAACGACAACGACAATGGTGGCGATTGTGGTGATGATGGTGGTTACGGTGATGGTAGTGGTGGTTAGGGTTGGCAAAAAGGGTCAACCCGGCTCGACCCGGCCCAACCCGCATTCAACCCGTAAAAATCGGGTCGGGTTAGGGTTGGCTCGAAAAAATAAACGAGCCAGAAAACCCAACCCAGCCCAACCCGAGCCGGGTTAGGGTTGGCTCACGGGTTGGCTCGATAACCAGCTCGCGGGTTGGCTCGGAAAAAAGCTCGCGGGTTGGCTCTAGAAGAAGGAAGAAGATTCTGAAGAAGAGAAAAAATTCTAAGTGTTGAGCGCTAAAACGTTCATCCAGAACGTTTTAGCGCCCTGCTACATAAACAAGCCAAAAGATGCTGGTCTGGAGCGCTAAAACGTCCATCCAGAACGTTTTAGCGCGCTGCTGCACGTCAAAGCCAGAAATATGCAGGTCTTCAGCGTTAAAACATTAAAGCTCAAACGTTTTAGCGCCCTGATGCCGGAAAAGGATTCTGGTCTTCAGCGTTAAAAAGCTCAAACCAAACGTTTTATTTTTTTTAATTTAAAAAAAATACCCAACCCGCGAGCTGGCCCGTTTAACCCGAGGGTTGGCTCGTTTGGGTTAGGGTTGTATCGGGTCGGGTTGTATCGGGTTGGCAGCTCATTTAGGCCAACCCAACCCGACTCATTTAGGACGGGTTGCGAGCCAACCCGACGGGTTGGCTCGTTTTTGCCAACCCTAGTGGTGGTGGCGTTGGTGGTGGCAGTGGTGGTGGTGGTGATGGTGGCATGGTGGTAGTGATGGTGGCGGTGGTCGTATCAGGATGATGATAGTGGTGATGATGATGGTAGTGGTGGTGTGATTGAGATAGACAAGTGTTTCTCATTTTGTGCCCGGGAACAAAAAAACAGAAGTTTTTTATTCTTTTTTTTGTTCCCGAGCACTAAAATTAAAACGGTTCATCCCGAGAACAAAAAAAATAAACTGGTTTTACCAAACAAGTTTTCTATCCATTTATGTTCCCGGTAACAGAAATTAAAAAAAAAAAAGTTATTCCGAGAAGGTTGTCATGCACACCCTTAGCATTCATAAATAATGGTGTATTAAACTGCCTTATAACCCCTTTTATCTTTATTCCCTATATATAGAGATGTATTCTTGTGAATAAAAATGTAGAAGAGAAGAATAAAAATTCCTGAAGAATTAATCTCATGATAATCCATTGTGTTCTTGATATCTCTCTAAATCTTCTTTCGTTTCACTTGTGTTTGAGAACGAGGAGACATATTCCCACGTAGTGGATGCAACTACATTTCGATTTTTAATTAGTCTTGCAATCTTTGAAGGACTCCAGATGAGGCTTATGTATGTTGTCACTACTTACTTATATGGACCATTAGATAACGATACCTATATGAAGGTCCAAAAAGGATTAAAAATGCCTGGAGCATATGAGTCTAAACCTCGAGAGATGATTTCCTTAAAATTAAAAAGATCCTTGTATGGACTAAAACAATATAGAAGAATGATATATAAGTGAATGTCTTAACATGGAAGGATTTAACAATAATCACATTAGTTCATATAGGTTTTCTTGAACATCTTTTTGCATATCATTTTATAAATTCTGTTTCTGGGGCTATAGACCTACACATGGGACAAACTTTATACCATTTTGAAGCCCAATATGTCTACTTTCCACCATTAAAATTTCTAGCCATTTGAAGAATATTTCAATTTTATATGATTTTTGGAACAAGTGACAATGACAATTTGGCATAGTATCTGCTCGCTAACTTGCTCTCTGTTTAACTCAGTGAGCAAACATATGAATTTCTAGAAATAGGTCAAACACTAGCTCTCCTCTCATTTTCTCTCAAACATTCACCTCCCTCTAGATTTTGGCTAAAAAACCACCATTTTCCTCACCTCAATTGTTGTTCCTTGACCCTTGAAGCTTGAAACCACCATATACTGCATTATTCCTCTTACCCGCTTCAATTGGAAACACCTAGAAACCCACCAAGAACAAAACCCCATTTTTGAACATCCATAAGAATGAAGAAAGAAAGGTGATTTTCTCCATTTTTGGAGCTCAATTGTGTTAGTTCTTCAAACCTTTGGGGTATCTAAGGTTAGTTGATAGTTTTCTTTGAATTTCCTTGGAGTTTTAAACATTTGAGGTTCGGGTTTTCAAAGTGTTTTGGGAAAATCCAAAAATGAACATGTGTTTTGTTGATTGATGCTTGAATATATGTTGTTGCATGTAGGATTGTTGTTAGTGGTGGTGATTTTGGAGAAAAACCATCCTTTGGTTGAGGTTCTTCGAATTTCCAACAAGAAATAAACTTGGAACCCATGGAAATTGATGGTTTCTGGAGTTGATAAAAATGTTTTGTATGTTAGTTATGTTGATAATTGAAATATTTAACTTGGACTAAGTTGTGTTGTGATTTTGGTGTGGGATTGGTCCTTGGACTGTTTTGGAACAAAGAGGAAGTCTGAGAACGTAGCTCCAAAGAGGTAAACTCTTGGACCTTGGGGGGTTTTATCCCTTAATGTTCCACCATACTCAATGTGGAGTAATAGTTTGTATGACATGATATGCATTGATGTTGAGATTGGGTGTTATTGCTTGAGTTGAGAATATAAATGTGTTATGCATGACTGCATGATTGGATAGATTTTCTAGCTTGTAGAATTGTTTAATATAAGCATTCTGGGGATGGCTGATGGACCAG